CTCGGCCTAAGAAAAGGGCAGAATCAGAGAAGATGGAAAATCAGAAAGTTATTCGACCCTACAACTAAGGAAAGACTCGGGTCATGAATTCTGGCTCAAGAGGAAGCCCAAAATGTGATGTGGGTACGGATACCCATGGCATATACGTGTGTGGGCCTTTACACGAGCGAGCCATGGAGACTGCACGTGCAGGCCCCTCACCAGCACGGCCAAGCATGCAGGATGTGTGAGCAGTAGCGCCCGCACGCCCCACAACACAAACACTAACTTGCAAGAAGTGACTATCATGCACAACAACTGTGCATGTGCGGACAAGTAGCTCCACATGCCCTAGCACGCACGAGCATGTGCACGGACCTCGGCAGGCATGCGCGCGAGATGCGCATGTGCGCAGGAGGCCAAACGCTCGCCCAACACCTCGCGCGCATCCGAAGGAGCGCCGTGTGGCAAGTTCACGCGACTCACGCCACCCACTCGCACGACCCGAACACTGCCCATGCGTGCCCAGCTAGCTGCCTGTGCAGCTAGACTTTTCTAAGTCCTTCTGGACTAGTTGTCTTCCTTTTCCAAGTGCTAAAAGTTTTCCAATTTTAAGGGACTTTCCATGTGATTTAAATGCTAAATTGGAGGAGAAATTCTAGACAACTTTGAAGTCAAAGAAAGATAAAGATAGTTGAAGATTTGGATAACAAGAAAATATTATTTTATTAATTATTTTAGTTGTTTTGATTACTTTAAATTATCTTAAGATAAGATTTCCTTATTTTAATATTTTGTATTGTTTCTAATTAGATTAAGTCTTATAGTTTGGGTAGGAATTGTAAATCCGATTCTGATTAGAAATTAGTAAATAAAAGCTCGTTGCTATAGTTTAAACGCTTATTCTGATAGGAATTCTAAATCCTATACAAAGGCTTAAGTTCTTACTTTGTAAACACAACTTTTGAGAATTGATAAAATTAAGATTTGTGTTTTCTTTAAAAATTAGCTTTGACTAATTTTCTTAACGTCTTCAAGTTCTTTGAAATTAGAAAGCTTTCTGAAATCTTGTTGAGCTGAGAAGTTGAGATCGAGTTATCGGATAAGTAGTGACGTATTTCTTTTCCTCTTTTTAATTTTCCTATTGTTTGTTTTTGCATACCATATATGTGGGTGTAGATTCAAGTAGGGGAATTTATTTAGGTGGTTAAGTTTCTGATTACATGTTTTGCTGAGGTTCCAGGAGTCAAAATGATCCTCCCCATATCCTCCCGCGTCATTTTTTGTCAACCAAAGGAGAGGATGATATTAAACTTAAGGTATATTCTCTTGTGCTTTCAAGCTATATCGAGACTGATTAATCTAAAAAAAATCAGAAATGGTAAGAATCGACGATAAGAGGCAGGAGTATGACTTATTAGGGGTATTGGCGTGCAAAACTATAGATCTTCCGATCAAGTATCTTGGCCTCCCATTGGGGCCCAAATATAAAGATGAGGTCTTAGAAACCAGTGATTAAGATTTTTGGAAGAAGTTTAATAGGGTGGAAGATAATTTTTTTTTCTAGGGATAGAAGGTTAACACTAATAAAAAACACGTGGACTAATCTCCCTATTTATTATTTGTTTACTTTGACAATACCGGTGAAGATAGCAAAAAAATTAGAAGCAATTCAATATCGTTTTCTTTGGGGTGATGAAGAGGGGAGAAAGAGATTGTCAGGATATTAAGAGTAAAAAGAAGAGATAAATAATGAAAGGAATAAATTAATTTTTTGCAAGTATCAATTAGGGTTAGGGTTAGAGTTAATATTTTGAATTTACTTTACAGCAACCATCGCTACAT